TGTACTTGTCTGTAGCTGTGTGCAGTGGTGTACACACAATCCATGGGGCCCCGGAGCAAAACTAATCCTCCCCTCGCCTCTCTCCCCTTCCCTCCCCTTATACACACAGACAGGCAGGCACACAGACACAGGCAAACACACATACATACAGACACAGACATACACACACACACATACAGAGACACAAAACACACACACATATAGAGACACACCAAATAATATTTGCGCTCAAGCCCAAGATGTTTTTTTTTTCTTTTTTGACCTTATCCATACCCTTGTTTGCAAACAACCTCCATATTGATGATCCTAATAGGTGAAACCAACAACAAATCCTGAAACATTTTCTTACTTCAATGTAAACCAAACTTTTCTCAATATGCTGTCTTATGTATTTATTATTTTAGAATAGAGTTATTTGAAAATAGCACCAGGTCCTATCATTATGGCCATCTGTTAGTAGGGACGTAAAATCTATAGACCCTTGCTAGCACTTTTTGTGCATCAAATTCTTAACATTTATTTATTTGTTTGCTCATAAAATGAAGGAAGGAATATGTCCTGTCATTTATATGCCAGCATCCTGTTTTTCATTGGTATTTTCTTTCAAGCAATTAATTTGATTTAAAGGGAATACATGGAAGTAATTAAAGGTTTTGTCAATGGTTGTACTTAAAAAAGTAAAACAGATAAGAACATATATATTAACACATATTAACAGTTTGGAAATGTTGTGAACAAATTAGACCAATATCCATTTCTTTTGCAAAAATTACAAGACAGTCCATATTTAGATTATTACTATTTTCTATGATTTCTTTTATATCTAATCTCACCTGGCTTGTCAAAAAATGTTTTGTCTTTTTTTCAACAAGTCTTGGCTTTATCAGCAACCTTAAAAATGGTATTGTGTTGACTAAACTAGCCATTGAGGGGAAGCAGACAGTAAATCTATGTCAGATATTGGCAAGCCTTGGGAAAAAGGCTGAAGCCATAGATTAGGTCAGTGTTGTATTGCTCACCTCGTGCCAAAGCAAGATTTTCTCTTTCAGTAATACTGTCAAGCACAGAACTGATATCCAGAATGTAATGAAATTCTTATATGCCTTACAATCTCTTCCTGTAACACAAAATATCTCTTTTATATTAATTTCATTGCATGGTCAACTCACAGCTGCATCACAAAAAATCATAGTTACTAGTTAGCTCTTTTCCCATCAAACATGGATCAGTGTGCACAGTAGTTATGTATTTAAAAATAATAATTATGATAAAAATATAGTCTCCTAGTATATAGAAGCTCGCATTAGAATAGAACATGAATAACAAAACATGATCAAACCTATTTCAAGTAAGTAATAAAGAAAACACAAAATGATACAGATTTTTAAAACGTAAGCTAGCTGAAATCTGAAAAAGTGTGTATGTGTATGTGTCATCTAATCCTTTCTCGGTCCATAATATGATGATTATTTACTTCCCTTTTTGCTGTTGTAGTTTTATACAAAAAATATGTATTGATGACCATTCCATGTCTGTTCAATAGCCTGTGTTTCTTTAATCTATGGTCTGGTAAAAAGAGCAATTGTTCAATTGAGATTATCAAATCTCTTCAGCATGTGCCAAACCTACATATATTTTAGTTTATTTTTCATGTTCTGGAACATAGTTTTCTTTCCGTATATGCCTCTAGTTTCTGAATCCAGTCATTTGTGCTATTTACTTTTAGGTGATTCCTTTCCTAACAGGGTTATTCACCAAAGTCTTAATGGCCCTGAATCAATGGGTAGCCATTGCTACCCAGTCATTAGAAAAGGCCCCATCCCATAGTACAGTGTTTCCCAACCCAGTCCTCAAGGCACACCTACCAGTCCAGGATTTAGGGATTACAGGGTGTGTCTAAGGTGTTTTTACAAAGAAGAAAAAAAACACCTTAGACACAACTGGGTAATCCCTAAATCCTGGACTGGTAGGTGTGCCTTGAGGACTGGGTTGGGAAACACTGCCATAGTATTCCCTCCCTAGGCCCCCACCATGCTGATGGGTGATGGTCCTAATTCATTATAAATTAGGGGACAGGAAAGACATATGTGAGGAAGGCTGAACTTGATGGACGTAAGTCTCTTTTCAGCCTATGTAACTACGTAACAGATAATGCTGCACAGGCTCCATATGCAAATTCACCTAGTTAGCTGAAAGAATCAGCAGGGCAAGAGAGCACACAAAACATTTAATACCAAACAATCACATTACGCATATCCAGCACCCACAATGGGCACAGGGTGAATTAAACTTAGGTGTCATTAAGGGACCTAATTGACGTATCCATCTTATGTTCCCAGTGATGGTGACTAACGTCACACTTCCCACAGTTGCTAAATGTAACTATTTTCATATTAACCTATATCAGTCCAACCAACACATTGATTAATGTCTAGCATCTAGAATACAGGGCCAATAAATGGATGATATTTCAATGTAGCTTTGCTTGTACAAGTACAAACTCCAGCAGCTCAAGTGTACTGACTTAAAATAATCTTGACAGCAGTTATCAAAGCTTGGCTAAATTATCCATATGCTAGCATATGAACGGAGTGACATCATACTCCTATACTCGCTAGCCAATGTTAGCAGCATTGACTATGGAGTTTTCATAGCAACCACAGTACATGTGTGTGGTTGCTATATGCGAAGATCAGAAGGGCCACCAGTGGGAGTTTGCATAGAGTGTATGCTGATGAAGGGACTGACAGGTGGGAGAAAAACCTATTTCTAAATATTATTTATTTATTTAAAAAATATTTTACCAGGAAAGATACTTTGAGATTTATCTCATTTCAAGTATGTCCTGGGTCTATAAAACATTGCATTGATACAATAGGGTACAATAAAATACAAAAACAATATTAATGCACAATATATACAAATTTAGCCAACAACAGGTAGGAAATATATAATCAACCATGACAGGTGCATTCTGTTTTGAGGTATGTAGAGAGGGATCTCTTAAAGGAATTTAGGCATTGGGAAGATTTGAAAGTGTGCAGGAGACGGTTCCATAATTGCGGTGCTCTATAGGAAAAGGAGGATCAGCTGCTTTCTTTTTGTATTGAGGTAGACAAAATGAAGTGCTAGTACTGGATTGGATATTATAGGAGGTGAAAACAGCCAGGGAGAGCATTCTGCTCAGGTAGGGTGGGGACTTCCCAGAAAAGCTCTTCAATACAAAGCTGCAAAGATGAAAGGTGCATCTATATTCCAGCGACAACCAGTTTAGTTCTTTTAGGATGTTTACAATGGTGGGTCCTGTAATTACATTGTAGCACAAATCGTCAGAACGAGTTATACAATGTGTTGAGTTTATTAAGGTGGGTTTGTGATGCAGATGCATATACTACATCCCCATAATCAATGATTGGCATCAGCTTTTGCAGTACAATCTGTTCCTTTACTGTAGGGCTTAGGCAGGATTTGTTTCTGTACAGAGCACATAGTTTTGGATAAAGTTTAGATGCAAGCTTTTCTAAGTGCAGGCCAAAAGATAGATTCTAACATCATACCCAAGTATTTGAAAGAGTGGACTGCTGTCAATGTGCTATTTGAATTTGTTTTGATGGATAGGTGGGAATTGTGTAATTTGTGTAATTTAGGTACTGTTCCAAAGATCATTGTGACACTTTTGTCAGTGTTTAGGAAGAGTTTTTGTTTATTGCGATCCACTTTTCTACCTCTGTAAACTGGTCTTGGAGCACAGCCTCAAGCTGCGGTAGATCGGATTTGCTTGCATAGATTACAGTGTTTTTTTCCCAAACTATACATTTGCCAGCAAGACTGCTAGCCTAAAGTAAAAATAGAATTGTATGTTCTTTAAAAAGAGCACAAATTCTACCTAGCATAATAGGTAACCCTTAATAGAAAACACTTTATTTTTTGTTCCACATATATTGATACAGATATGACAGCTGACATGATCAGCTTGGACCATCAATATGTTATGCTTGGTCTTCATCTACATTTACTATTGTGTCAATCCAACTTTTTTTATTATACTCACTAGCATAAGGATTTAGTATAGAATATTTAGTATAGAATATTGTATATTTTATGCGTAATCTGCATATTTATATATTTTAATCCATATTGCAGGCCTCTGTTTGCAATAAAGGGGATTAATGGTACCCGCAGAGCTGCGATTGCAAAGCACAAGACAATTTATGACAATCGTCAGCCTCCATATGTTTTTTCTTGAAATTAGTTTTTTTTTTTTTTAAATGGCATTAACGTGTGCACTGAAAATACTGCACTACAGAGTAAAGGAATAAATCGGAGAACTCCTTCGGAGGCATTGATCGTCATTTTACATTCTGTGCAGGCGAAGTGTGCATTCTTTGTGCTCTTTTTCTTATTTCTTGGAACTCAGACAAAAATTACATATGTGCAGAAATCTAAAATCCAAGGTTAGTATATATCACAATGTAGATAGATATATAAAGTGATATGTGTGGGTGTGCATAATCATCAATGTAATAACACTATATCTACATAAATTGCAAATGTAACACTGTATTGAGTTGGTAAATAATATGAAGATTAGGAGTAGGCACAGTTTAAAACTCCTACTGTACATTCTCAAGGTACAAAAAGTGCTGTTTAAAAGGATAACAGTACTAAGGTATCACAAGACTAAAAAGAACCTGTGTCTGATAGATGTTGGTTATATTTATGCATTGCAAGCGCAATGCCTTGTATGGTCACCAGATCAGTATTTGTTTTAAATGAATGATTAGAAAAAGCATACTCCAGGGCTCAATTTAAATGTGTACATTCCTGAAATATGCAATTCTCATAGTGATGTCTAAATCGGATCATGATCTGGCAATGTGTCTCCCTCTGGAGATGTGGGCTGGCATACTATGGAATTTGAAGTAACGAGCTTGTAAAAAATAGACCTTCTAGCAGAGGTAATCACTGTACCAGTAGGGCTATTTCTGCTAATAATAAACCTATTGTAGCAAGCCAAACAGATGGGTGGCCCGTTGATGGGAGTTGCCGCTCGGGTCACTCCGGTGGACCTCTGCTTGGTCTGAGTGATCAGAGGTAAGTCTGTAGTATATATTCCTTTGCTGGTTGTAACTGTCTACTCTCCGCCGCTTCCTATTTGTTCGCTGCTTTGTGAAGTGCCGCCTGGGTGATTTAAATGCAATGTATGCCAGGTTCTTGGGGTTAGTTGGCTTGTGAGGAGTCTTCCGGCTGGAAGGACGTCGGAGTGGGTGCGCCCCAGCGTGGGTCCCCCGTCTGGAGTGGGTCGGTACTCTCTCCTGCTGCATGTGTGAGACTTGAGATGGGGGCCTTTGATGTAGGCTTCTCCAGAATGCTTGGCAAATTTGATTGAACCTTGCCTCAAAATGCCATCTCATCTGGAGCCCCGGATCCTCCGTGGTTTGCTTCACGTGTTGCATGGCGGCCATCTTGGGCACCTCACGTGGCTTACTGTCGGACAGTGATTTTCCCCTTGTCAGGCGAGAATGTGTTTCCAGCGTGGACCGGGATATCCCCCACCAGTCCATGGGGGGGTTGCAGGGGAACAAGAGAGCTGCCATGTGATGCTCGCCCTGTGTTGGGAGGCAGACGGCCTCCCCCGGCAATCAGGTTACTTGTCATGCTAGACCTCAGCTGCGATTCCCGACCAAACGGCTGCGATAGCTTCGTGTGTGGTATCAGAAGATTAGGCTTCACTTCGCCTTTCTGCCGGTAGCTTGTTTTGTATAGTTTCTAGTCTGTAAATTGTCTCTTAGTCGGTTTGAGTGTCGTGCAGAGTGGGAGCTGTGCCTGCATGCGACCGCTCAGCTCCGTGCTCAGACCCCGCCCCCAATATTAACATTTTATTATTAAATGACATTTGTTTTGATTTCCTGGCAGTGGCAACCTATCTTCCACTTGTTGTTTTCCCACCAGCTGAGCCATATTTCTAAAGGATTGAATATTGAATATTTGAAAAACACATTTAATAAAACTGATTGGCCTAGCCTACATGATTTTCTGCTGATTGACACATAATTAATTATTGCAAAATAATAGTAACTATGTAAGCTTTGCAACTTTTTTATCCACTTTTTATTTATTTAAAACACAAGAAATAAATAAGAGCTGTCACTTGGCAAATTTTAACACAACCAATTAGTTAATTAAAAGTTAGCTTCTGGTTGTGCAATTTGTATTTATTTATTTTTTTATTTACTTTCATTCTTTATATGTTTGTATACATACTTTGAAGATTAAGGGCAGTTAAAATATCTAAATGACTTAACTCTTGAAGTGCTGTACGCAAGGTACATACAGCACTGATGGAGACATTTCCAAGCGCGTATTTATATTTGCTTAATTTCTCTCTTAGAAGCCTTTGTGCCCAAAGCAACATAGGATGACGTAGACATAATGCATAAGTGAGTTTTTTACTTACCTCTACTGCATTGTTCACCCTAGTAAAAGCTGAAATGCATTTTCCTGATTTGAAGAAACAAGGAACTGTCATTTCTCTGGAGAGTAGAATACAGCAGTACCTATGTAGTTTAAATGTTTTTTTAACTCCTTGCTGCTATACATATCAAAACTCATGTTACTCACTAAAAGTGTCACCTGTCCAATGGTAGGATATATTAAGCAGCAAGTGGACAGTGGTAAGTACCTACCAAAAATGACGAAAGGAAGGACAACTGGTAAACCAACATCAAGGTCACAGGAGCCCATAGCTCACTGATGCACATAGGGTGTGAAGCCTAGCCCATCTGATCTGATCAGACAAAATAGATACTTTAGCTCAAATTGCTGAAAAACTTAATGCTAGCCATGATATAAAGTTGTCACAACACACAGTACATATCAGTTTGTTGCATATGGGGCTACATAGCTGCAGACTGGTCAGAGTGCCCATGATGACCCCTGTCCACCACTGAAAGTTCCCTTAATGGGGAGGTGAGCATCAGAACTGGATCATGGAGCAATGATAGAAGGTTGCCTAGTCTGATGAATTACATTTCCTTTTAGATCAGATTAATGGCCTGGTGTAGGTGCGCCATTTACCTGGGGAAGAAATGGCAAGACTATGGGAAGAGGGCAGGCAGAAGTGTTATGCTCTGGGTAATGTTCTGCTGGGAAACATTTGGTCCTGGCATTTATGTAGATCAATGCACAGTGCCCGCAGTGATGCTGGGAGCCGGAATATGACATCACTCCGGCTCCCAGTATCACTCTGCAGTACGCGAGGTAGCTGAGCAGGGAGAGCTCATAAACAATGTATGACTGTCTGTGTGTTTGGCTGTCTGTGTGTGTGTGTGTATTGCTTTCTCTGTGTGTGTATTGCTGTCTGTGTGTGTTTGTATGTGTGTATTGGCTATGTGTGTGTTTATATAGCTGTGTGTGTGCATTTCTGTGTGTGTGTGTGTATATATGTCTATCTGTGTGTATATGGCTATCTGTGTGTGTATGGCTGTCTGTGTGTGTGTCTCTGTCAGTGTGTGTGTCAGTGAGTCTGTGTGTGTGTGTGTCAGTGTGTGTCTGTGAGGGAGCCTGTGTGTCTGAGTGATTGTGTGTGTCTGTGAGTGAGTGTGTGTGTCTGTGAGTGAGCCTGTTTGTCAGTTAGTGTGTGTCTGTCAGTGAATGTGTGTGCCTGTGAGTGCATGTGTGTGTTGGAGTGATTCTATGTGTATGTCAGTGTGTGTATGTCAGTGTGTGTATGTCAGTGTGTGTGTATGTCTGTCAGTGAGTGTGTCTCAGTGAGTGTGAATGAGAACAGATGCAGCGGTTTAGTAGACGGGGGACTGAGATTTAGTAGACAAGCGGGGACTAAGATTTAGTAAACGAAGGGGGGACTGGGATTTAGTAGACGAGGGGGGACTGGGGTTTAGTAGAGGGGGTCGCTGTTTTTTTTAAATACTGTACTTTTCAAAATAATTCTATGTTTCTATGAAAATTTACATATTTGTTTTTTTGTGGCCCACATAAACTTAAACCTTGTTTATTTGGCCCTTGCTTGCCTTTGAGTTTGACATGCTTGATGTAGATGTTACATTGAGACATACTACCTACTTAAATATTGTTGCATGCAGACCACATATACCCCTTTTATGGCAATGGTGTTCCCTGATGGCAGTGGCCTCTTTCAACAGGATATTGCCCTGCCAAGCTGCAAGAAATATTTGGGAATGGTTTGAGGAACATGACAAAGAGTTCAAGTTGTTGCCTTGGCCTTCAAATTCCACATATCTCAATTCAATTGAGCATCTGAGGAATATGCTGGAACATTAAAGTTAATCCATGGAGGTCCCACCACACATTTTGCAGGGCTTAACGTATCTGCTGTTCATGTGTTGGTGCCCGATACTAGAGGACACATTCAGAGGTCTTGTGGAGTCAACAATGCATCAGAACTGTTTTTACAGTACAATGGGGACCTACATGACATTAGGCAGGTAATTTTAATATTGTGGCTGATTAATGTAGATAGTTTAGGTCTATAACCCTTTCTCAGCTCTAAAAAGTTAAATTCTGTAAATGTTCTTAAGTAACCTTACCTTTTACTTATCGCTGAACAGTGATTTATACATATAAAAATTGCCCTTACATTATCCAAGTAGTTTGACGTAAATGTTATGCTAATATTTTTCAATCAAAAATAACTGCAGTGAATTGTTTAATAAAAGATACATTATGCCTACAAAGTCAAATAATATAATATATAATATAGGTTTTATCTCTTCACACTACACCTGTATGCCTGCTGTAAATGTTTAAAACTTGGAAAATGTAAAAATACAGGCATATATTTTGAATCATAATGTATTTTTAAATGTGTTGCGCCCTACAGAGTAACTGTGGAGGAAAAATTTAAAAAGGGAAATGTTGTGAAATGAAGCTTGCATAAAGAAAAGCAAAGACATATAGGATGTAAAAATATATAATATTACAACTAATAATAAAAATATATGGAAATACAGTGCAATAAGGCTTTTATATTGAATCACACATTTTAAAGCCATATAGTTTGATTGGTATTTTATCAATATAAACACTATCTGTCTATCTGTCTGTCTGTCTTATTTAATTGCACACAGTCTTTTAAATATTATTGCTTCATAAAAATCCTTATTTCACCTGAGTGACTTATCTTGCACTGTAAATAACAAAGGGCAGATGGGACCCATATCTCTAGCTAATAGTTTTTAGAATAACTTCTATTGATCTTTATGTGTCAGAAGATGTGATATCCACTCAACTGAATAACATTGTCTGGTAGAAATGTGATATTTTAATATAAAAATAACCTGTGGATTCATATGCAGAGACCTCCAGATCAATAAAACATTACAATCACACAATAAATGATCTTTATTTCTGGTCACTTCAGTTATTTCTCAAGCGTACAACTGAATCCCCCAGTTCCCAAGCTTCCTAATTTACAGTTCAGTCTGCCTGATCATATTTTTTTCAATTGAAGATATAAACATTTGTTTTAGAATATCCTTATATAGAAATGTATAGAAAAAAGGACAGGATCCTTGTACCGAGCATTATATTTTAATTCCTCTTCAGTCCTCAACCATTAACCTCACAAGTTCTAATGTAAGATAAAGTTTATTTTTTCTTCCTCCCTTTAAAGTACATTACCCCCATAGCGCAAGGACATTTTAAACTGTATTTTAAGTATAGATTGAGATACAATATCAAGTTTGTGTTGATTACAATAAGGATGATGTTTAGTTTGTGTAAAACAACACATAAGCAAACATTGAAGGTCATCTTTTAAAACTTTTCTAAAAAAGGAGCGATGAGAATTTTGCTTATTAGCAAATAGTAATTAGCAATATTGTATCATCCTGATAACCTGAGATAAGGGCAATATGAAAACTATACTCTACAGCATGCAATCATCTTGGCATAAGGTGATATGTCAAGACAGGCATCTTAGGTCAAGCATGGGTAAGCTATAATATAATAGATGGTCAAGTCAATCAATAATTAGTGTGGGACTTTCTTTAGAAATTGGAAAAAATACAGACAGGACTGAAATATGAGGAGCTAATAAATGTTCGCATTACGTCTTTCTCGTGGGTAAAGACGCTGCTGTGACTGCTCTCTTCACACCTGGGAACAAAGTGGTAGTATGTGGGCCCCAAGTGATGAGATGATTGAACTCTATGAAGAAATCCATGTATGACTCCAGCGAACATCAACATTCATTCTCCCTCAAGGGAAATATTGATCTTTGCTTCATCGAGTCAATAATTCCTGACAAGATCCAATATCTTTGTGTTATGAAGCTCAGCGAATG